GGCCTCACCAGGGCTGAGTAGAGGGGCAGGATCCCCTCACTCGACCTGCTGGAGACGCTGCTCTTAACACACCCCAGGATCCCATTGGCCTTCTTGGCCACAAGGGCAACTGCTGCCTCATGGTCACCTTGTCATCCACCACGACACCCAGGTCCCTGTCTGCAGAGCTGCTCTCCAGCAGGTCGATCCCCAGCCTGTCCTGGTGTCTGTGGTTATTCCTCCCAGGTGCAGAACCTTGCTGTTACCCTTGCTGAATTTCATAAGGTTTCTCACTGCCCGGTTGTCCAGTCTGTCCAGGTCCCTCTGGATGGCAGCGCAGCCCTCTGGGGTATCAGCTACTCCTCCCAGTTTCATATCATTGGCAAACTTGCTGAGGGAGCACTCTGTGCCTTCAGGGGAGTTATTCCAGGTTAGGATCCATCCCTGTGAGGAAACTGCGTGAGGCTGCATTGCTGCAAAGTGCAACGCTTAGCCTGGTCCAGCCCCTCCCAAGGGCAGGAGGCCTGAGAAGGGAAAGATGGGATTTGTGTGAAAAGAGGGGATTTGCGCTGCAAGAGACGAGCACAGTGCACAGGACAGGAGAAGAAAGGTGTTCTAGGCACCCTGGCCCGGCACACGTAGCGGGACGAGTACTGAAGATGAGTCACAGGGAGCAGGCCGTTTAACCTGCCTATGGAGCAGGGACTTCAGTGAGCTGTTTCCTCCAAAACGTTGAATCCCAGGTTGTGATTAACTGCCCAAAGGTTTCTTGGTTTTGGTTTTAGGAATCAGGGGAAAAGGGAAGGAAATGGCAGGATCTGATGAGGGAGAGAATTAGCACGGAAGGATCTGTCTGGGAGCCTAATGAGCATCCCTCCGCATGGGCTCCTTCCTTTTTTTCCTCCATGTCCCCATGGACACCAGTGGGACACTTCTTGGCAAGACCCCTCTGCACGCATGAGGGATGAAGGGGCAGGTGAGGGGCACCAGCCCCACCAGTGATGACCAACTTTGTTCAGAGCAGCCCTGGTTCAGAAGCCAGGTCCTTCCTTGAACTATTGTGAATCAAAGCTGTGGGGCTGCCACAGATTTTTCTCCAATGGTTCATGGGGACTGGGAACAAAACCAGGGTGCTGGACACCCCACTCAGGCATCTCTGACACTGGGCTCAAACCACCAACCTTTTGGCTAACAGCCAAACCTGCGCCCTGCCAAGACAGCCTAGAGCTGTCCCAGGATGACTCTGGGATCAGGACAGTCCCCAGTGTTGCAGGAACGGGAAGCCCAGCCATGCCCCAGCTCCAGGGAAGGTGATGCCTTGCGCTGCTGGTGGTCACAGCAGTGCAGCCCTGGCGCCAAGGTGAGGGGCTGTGGGCAGCTCCCTGTCCACGTGCAGCTCTGCCTGCTGCTGTGACTCCTGATGCTGGTGTTGGGGACGGGCACACACAGGAGGGCTGCACAGGGTGGCAGAGGTGACTCAGGGAAGAGATTCGTTCCTCCGCATCGATCCTCCCTGGGAGGGCCAGAGCATGGGAGCCCCACAGAGTCTCTTCCTGCCCCAGCGACTGCAGAGATTTTGCAGGGGAATCTCTCTGTGCTGAAGCCACAGAGTAACTTTGAAGGCACAGAGTGCTCCCTCAGAAAGTTTGCTGA